TATATATATATATATATATATATTTTATATATATATATATATATATATATATATATATTTTATATATATATTTTTTTTTTTTAAATAATTATATATATATATATATATATATATATATATATATATTTTATGCTATCGTTCGCTGATTGACCACTATAGAGAAACTGAATTTTCAAGAATGGCTGCTCCTGCTATTAATGCATTGCTCCTCAGTTATGAATTGAGTGCTCTTTGTTACTGATTTTGTGTTTGTATACATCGCATACATCATATGTTAAAAGATTTAATTTCTCTGCTGTGCAACTATAGCTGATTGAGTTTTGATCCCCAGATTGATGAAGATCCCGAATTTGAAGCAATCATCATTCTAGCCATACTGGCAAGCTGTGATACAGCACAACAGGCTTGTCTGTGGATGACTCTCTTTCTCTCTCTCTCTCTCTCTCTCTCTGTCTATATATATATATATATATATATATATATATATATATATATATATACACACACACACACACACGCATCAAAAATTTCATATCTTACTTGGTTTAATTAACTCCTACTCAGCTAAGATGCTCAAACTATTTAAACCACTGAACAGTAAACCTTTGTTTTTTATGGTGTTTTCTTACTTAGATGTTTTAATTTCTTTTGTATTTAGAATAATATGTACTAATTTTTAACCATCCTGGGTATGACAGTAAACTACATCTGGCAGCAATGCCTCTGATCAGGGTGTTTTGAAATGTGTAAAGCTAGCTCTTCATTGCTGTTGTGACCAGGTACCCCCTGACCCAAGATGTCAGCACCTGTTACAGTCTCAGCTATGGTCAAATAGTGAACCCGAAAGAAAACATTCAGTCAATTATATGCTGTGCATGATACACACTTAGGCAATCATGTACCTTTCGATACATGACTGATGAGGCAGATGTTTATCCTGCAGTAGACCAGTTGCCATCCAAGGCTATAGAACTGTCCTGCTATTTAACCATAGCTAGGGGGAGAAGAGGAGGATTCATACCTTTCCCAAGAGTATTAGCACGTAATGGATTTGACGTGAATTCAAACTCGGCTCTCCAATTCCTCAATCCGAACCACTATCCACTACTCCACCATGCCTCCTCAGAAAGCACTATCAAAGTGTAAAAGTATATTTTTATAGTAAAATACAAGCAATACATTTTTATAGTAAAAATATAAAAAAAATTGCAACAATACATTTTTGTAAAAGAAATTACTAATACTCTCAAGAAAATTAAATTTTGGTAATAAATGATTCATAAAGAGTTGATATGCCACTAAAAAAACCCAAAAAGCAAGTATACTAATTATCAAAGCATCAGATTAAAGCTTTAAAATACGACTGTAATTCTTTTCCAAAAACTTTGTCTTTAAATTAAGGATGCATCTTATACACTGATGTGTCTTAAATTCTGAAAAATATGGTATATATGAATATATACGTTTTAATGTGTCTGTTTTTAAAGCTATAGTAAAATTTGTACACCTAACCTAAATAATTTAATTTCTCTATGGTATATACCTTAAGTAGATATTTTTTATGCTTAAGCTGACATTGGTAAGCTGAGTTCAAATGATCCTCAATTATGACTGTCCCTTATGACCCACAATTATCAAAGACTTAAAGAATTTCATTGTATTTGAAATTGTCATAAAATTTGGGTTCTCAACATTTTAGGGGAAGTTTTTAGTAAAAATTGCCTTCCAGAAGCTAAGCAAAGTATTAAGAAACAGGAAAATATCATTACAAATAAAGAAAAGTGCTGAAGTGCTATGTAATATAAGTTCTCCTACATGACAGTGGATGCTGGACAATCTCCTCACATATGGCAACAGAAGAGATATGATTCTAAGGAAGGACACAGAGAATACAATGGACTAAAATTTTAAGGAAAATGTAATCTAAAAGGACACTTATACTTAGAATCAGAGATGGCTGAAATTTTGGGAACTTAAGGAAAGAAGGCTTGGAGCAGAGGGAAAAGGGGAGCAACCTACCTAATAAGCTTGTGGGAATCAATAGCAGAATAGGAAGTGAGAGGAATGGTGAAAAGACACACTGTATGAAGTTTTAAGGAAAATACAAACTAAAAGAACATTTATACTTAGGGTCAGAGACAGTTGAAATTAATGGAACTCACAGGACATATTGGAGGTAAAATGAATACTCAACGAGGTTTTGTAATTGGATGGCAGAACAGGGATTTGGAGGGATGGTGAAAATACAGACCTTACTAAGATCTACAAAAGATAGGAAGTTGTGGTGAGCCATGATTGCTCACATTCTGAAGTGGCATGGCACAAAGAGAAAAACAAGGATCCAACAGAGCACAAAGATTTGACATTTGATTCTGTGACACTGACTTTTATCTCATTTCATTTATACTTGTTTAATGCTTAACCTTTTCAGAAATTGATCCAATTGAAATATAGTTTGATATTTACTCCACTCCAATGCACTTGATTACAGCTGAGTTGTGAAGACACTTCTCTGGAAAATAAAAGATAGAAGTCTGCATTACTATTATCAACATGTTTACAGTTACATACATACATATATATATATATATATATATATATATATATATATATATATATATATATATATATATATATATATATATATATATATATATATTTTAAAGAAAAACAGACCACTTTAAAGTTCTATTATAATAATTTATTTCACTAGAGCCCTTTTAAAGGATGCTGGATCATCAGATAACACTTCCAAAAAAAACGAAACGAAAGATGAAATGAAAATTCATACTTTTGACGGGTTGTATTAAGTTTATGTAATTTAACAGAGAGGGTAGCGAGGAGTGGTGGGAGAGACATGGTTGAGTTTAGAGAGGGTTTATTTTAATATTTCTTTCAATCATACTTAGTATTGGGGGAGGAGGGACCAGATATATATATATATATATATATATATATATATATATATATATATATATATATATGAAAAGATTACTTAACTTTTTAAATATCAATTTTTATCCTAACATTGAGGTTTCTTAGTAAAATTTCCAGTCATCAGGGGTAGTGGTTTTGAACTTTATTTCCAATTTTTTCAGTTTTTTCACTTTCTTTTAAATGTTTTTCCTTTTTTTTTTTTTTTTTAAATAGCCCTATATATATATTTTTTTAAAAATAGCCTTATATATATATATATATATATATATATATATATATTTATATATATATATATTATATATTTTTAAATAATACTCCGGAAGCAGTTGTCACTGTAAAAGACATCCAAAAAGTTCTTATGTGTATAGAACAAAAAATCCATAGGCTGATACATACTTTTCAGCTGAATTTTGATCTAAAATTATCACTGTATAATGTTCAATCTATATAATAGATAGAGATTTGGTGCATTGATAAGGAAGAAGATTATGTTGTAAAATAAAAAACATATGTCTAAAATAAATGCTTTTTTCATAATTAGGTTGCAGACACTGATGTACCTACATATTCACACTGAATTAAGTGCATTGACACTAATGGTGATTATACTGAAAAAAAATCGTTATGGAAAATAAATTCTTTGTTCATCATTAGGCTACATTTATTGATTTACTTCCATTTATATAAAATTCCTGAAGAAGCTCTATATTATGATAAAGGAAATGTTTATTTCACTTATGATAATGGTTGGCATCAAAACAGATAACTCAATATGCAAATTACAAATTGGAGAAAATAAGCAAGTACAAAATTTTAAGTATTTGGGAAATGTTTTAACAGAGGACAGAAAGAGTAACAATAAAATCTGCAGGTTCATTAGTATAGCAAAAAATGCTTTCCAAAAGCTAAGCAAAGTATTGAGAAAGAGGAAGATTTCTTTAGAAATAAAAAAAAAAGTATACTTGCTATGCAATATTGGTCATCTTATATGGCAATGAATGCTGGACAAATTTCTCACAGATGAAGAAACAATTTGAGATAACAGAAATATGGTTCTACAGAAGGATGGTGAGAATACCAGGGATCGAACATGTGAGTAATGATGAAATCTTAGAGAAAATGGAAACAAAAGACACTTATATTTAACATCGGAAAGAGAGGTGAAATTTCAAGCGCACTTAATAAGGAAAGAGAGCTTAGAAAATTTAACACTAAGTTGAGGTTAACATTTGTAAAAATTTTCAGTATATATTCTGTACATTGGAAATAAAGATTAAGGTATTGTCTATGGTCAGGAATGAATACAAGCATTACTAATATTATATGGTTATGACCAGCATTTATTAAATAAGTAGTGGTTTACACTTCTTCCCGGCCTTTTGAACATGAGTGGGGGTTTATCCCTTGTTTCCTGTTCAGGATTTTTTCCAGCTCCTAAAGTCTTCTCATTCTATTTCACTTCTAGCAAACACTTGCATCTTGGTGGCTTTATTGCCTTGCTTAGAGTGAACTGATTTTTAAAAAAAAAGGAATAAATTATAAACTGTTTTTGAATAATTATAAACTGTTTTTGAATAATAACATCTGTTGAATAATTCATCTTGTTTTCCTAAAAAAAAAAGGCACAAGTAATGAGGTATCTGATCAATTCTGAATATTTTTCAGCCTTGCTGCCACTTGACACTGTATTTTCCAATTAATGCAAAAGAAAAACAATTTGGTGCTAGTAACTCTTAACTTTCAGAAATAACAACAATTGTTAATGATTAATCAATAAATACTTTTCAAAGTTCCATTCAGTTTTCCCTTTTTGGCAATTACCGATTCCGTTTCTGCGAAACAATATTAGCTCTGATCGTTAGTCTCCAATTTTTTCAATCTGTGATTCTATTCTGAACAATTGCCATAGATTGAACTTTACCAGTGATGAATAAGAGTAAAACTACCTTTCAATTTTGCCAACTTCTAAACAATGCAGATTTGTTTTTATACTATTGTACTTGCAAATATTGTTCTCAAAATGTACATTCTATTCTCAGTGGACCTCAATTTGATCTGATCGTATGCTGTGAGAATTCATATTGTTGGCACAGTACTAAACAAAGACAATATATGTAACCTGATCCAATTCAATCCCATTGGAAGTGCAATTATTCAGGTGAAAGAATAATCTTTACTTTTTACTTCCTTTAGGATTTTTCTCTCTCTTTCTGTTTACTTTTTCTTTTTCTGTCTCTCTCCTTTTTTTTTCTTTCTCCTTCTTTCTTTTTCTCACTCTGTACTCCCACTTTCTCAGTTCTCTTTCTTTTTATTGCTATCTTTATCCCTCTCCCTTTCCCCCTTTGTTTACTTGGTTTGTCTCTTGAGTTATCTAGCTTCTTTTATCATGCTCTAGCTCTCTTTCTGTTCTCTCTCTTTCTCTCTCTGTCTTTTCTCTTGCTTTTCTTTCTCATTTTGTTTTCCCTCTCTCTGTTCTTTTTCTTTCTTTCTCACTCTGTTCCTCTTTTTCCATTTCCGTCTTCTTTTTCCCTTTCTGTTCGTCTTTATCGTTCTCTCTTTCTCTTCTTTCTTTTTATTGCTCTCTTTAGCTCTCTCCCTTTCTCTCTTCCTTTCTCTCTCTCTCTTTCTCTTTATTAGTCTTTCTCTTTCTTTTTTTCTCTCTCTTCTTCTCCCTCTCTCTTTCTTTTCTCTTTCTGTTTACTTTTTCTTTTTCTTTGCTCTTTCTCTGCTCTTTCTTTTACTTTATCTCTTTTTCTCTGTACTATCTCTCTTTCTGTCTCTATTTTTTTTGGCATTTCTCTTTCTATTTTTTTTTCTCTTTGTGTTTTCTCTCTCTCACTCTCTCAGTTCCACTTTTTTCATTTTTTCTCTTTTTCCTTTGAACCAAGCCTCATAATCACCAATTTGAATGTCATAATATGAGATCAAAAATACCTCATTTTTTTAATCAAAACGTGATTCTTAAGTCCTGAACTCTACCAGAAAAGACTTCAGTCTGCATCTCATAGCAACTTGGGGATGGCATGTGATCAGAAATCTGTACTTGTAAATTCCTTTTTATCTCCAATCAAAGCAACAGTTAATGATTTCCTGTGGACTGCATACACTTAACAATTGCCTGTCCTCAGTTTCGCCACTATCACCTAATAACTTCCTTCTATTGGTTACAATGTTTATGTTCACTCCAATGCAATAAAGACAGATTACTTCTTTATTAGTCACTTGGAGATACACCTTATTATGCTTCTCTATCACATCACTGGACATGAAGTAGAAAAATCTTTTGAAATTAGTCTGATACAAAGATTTTATTGACAATCACTCTGCTCAATTAATTTTGTTTGTTGTGTTATTGTTTAGAGAATATTTTCTTTGTTAAGCGAATAGTGTCATTTGATGTAACAGGCATACTGTTGACATTTAATGAATTGCATAAAAATTATTTTGGGAAAAGAAAATGAGTAACATTTTCATATTAGGAAATGTGATTTTTAAGATAGCATAAAAAATCTGTGTCTAATATTCAAAAACCAAGTGTTAAATTCTTTGAAAAATCCCTGAGAAAATTAGCATAATTACAAATGTAATATTCCTTTAAAATCTTAACCTCTTTATCCATCGCTATCTATCACTCATGTCCACATAATATGCACTTTTTTTCAGCTTTCCCCTCCTATGACCATACAATATCATCATTTAGTGATACTCTACCTTGAGTTGTTCTTGGGAAGACATTCAGTAAAATTATATATATATATATATATATATATATATATAAGAGGCCTATATATATATATATATATATATATATATATATATATATATATATATATATATATATATATATATATATTAACAATATAGATAGTACTAATATATAATATTACAAATCAAAACCTACCCACATTTCTCACCCACACAAGACAGACATGCTTACTGAGGTGTTGAGGCCTCACACTTATACACACACCCACACGAACATACACGCTTACACATATCATACTCACTCACACCCTAAGAACCAAATAACACACAGAGAAACATTTAACAGAGGCACATCCCCTCTCCAGGACCAATAAAACTGTCAAAATGACCAGGGGATTTTAGAGCAGCATAGATCCATCCAGCTCTTATCTCAAATAACAACTTAAAAGAGACTGTTTGACCAACACAAGGAATGTTCAATATATATATATATATATATATATATATATATATATATATATATATATATATATGTATGTGTGTGTGTGTGCATGTGTTTAAAATAAGATATATAATCATGACAAAGTTTTTAAGAAATTTGACAAATGGAAAACGTTTCATTGAAAATAGATTTGATTACAAGTTTCAAATTTCGACGTTTCATCAAATCCATAAATGAAAGCAAGAAATGTATGCATGTCTATTTGTGTGTATGCTTGACTAATGAATCATAGAACTTTTTTCTTTAAGCTGGCGTTTCTCATGATTAAAGAAAGAAAATCAGCGATTTTTAAAAAAAAGTCATTAATATTTATTTTGTCTCTTTTCTTTAAAATTCTTAGTTCATGTCGAAAGTTGTTACTATATTTTCCAGCTTTTTGTATCGAATTTAAGACAAATCCTCTTCTCATTATCAGAATAACTCAAAAGCAAGACATTCGTTTAGCCTTTTCTGAAATGAATCCAAAGCAGATCCTTATACAATTTTGTTGGTTTGTTTGGATCTCTCTTTGACTATATATATATATATATATATATATATATATATATATATATATGTGTGTGTGTGTGTGTGTGTGTGTGTGTATTTTCAACTCAGTGCTCAATGTTTATGAATGAATGTATTATATCGATGAAATTTCCAAAACTGTTCCTTGTTCAATAGTTTCCAAACATTCCCTGGAACTCTTTTTGAAATGACTCCTAGTTCCACTCAAGCGATGTATTCATGGAAAACAGTAACATCAATTACATGTTTTATTATGTATGTTAATTACAGTATAACATTATGCATATTATACATGTAATTATAATAATTTGTTTATACACACATATAATGTGTGAGAATTTAAAATAGGATATAGAATCCTGATAAATTTTTCAATTTGATAAATGGAAAATATTTCATTGAAACTAGATTTGATTATGCATTCTAGGCTTCATCAGATTTAAAAAATGAAAGAAAGAAATATGTGTATATGTATTTGTGTGCATGCTTAAACTCTCAGCTTCTTAGTACTTTTTTCCCTAAGTTATATTTTTTTTGTAATTAAAGAAGAAAGAAAATGAGTGATTTTTAAAAAAAACCATTAATATTTATTGTTTCTTTTCTTTATAATTCTTAGTTTATGTTGAAAGTTATTACTATATTTTTCTAGATTTTTTGTATTGAATTAAAGACAAATCCTCTTCTCATTATCAGAATAACTCAAAAGCAAGACATTCGTTTAGCCTTTTCTGAAATTAATCTAAAGCAAATTCTTATACAATCCTTCAAAACGTGTTGAAAGTAAAAGATTAACCTTATTGTCCACTTTTATATTTACACATGCCTTGTCACAGATATTGACTTTTATGCAATATATATAGCAAACCATAAAACTATATTTTTCAACACACATATATATATATATATATATATATATATGAAGAAATATAGTTTTAAGGTGATCTATATTTATGGGATGAAGTGCTCAATATCAGAGACAGAGCATATGTAAATATAAATATGAATGTGAACATTGAAGTTAACACTCAAAGGCAACAGGCTGTTTCATGCTAGACGCAATTGACAGATTTGTTGGATTTTTCCTCGATTATTTATATATGCAGGTTGGTGCATTGTGGGTAATATATTCTGGCAGTTATTTTTTGGGAGTGGCTTATTTAATAGTTTGTTTTGGTCTGGGAAGATAATTAAAGCTATTTATTCATCCAATGTTTAGATTGCTTGCCATAGTCTATTCTGTTATTTTGACAGGGTGGGGGTGGGGGTGCAGTTTTTAATTTATTTATTTATTTATTTATTTATTTGGATATATTTTTTTTATTTCTTTTTGCTTATTTATGCTTATTTTTATTAGTTCTAACGGTTATTTTAGTGGGGCCGATTTGTTACTATGTTCATTTATTTATTTATTTGGATTAATTCTTATTTGTTTTTTATTTGTTTACTTATTTTATGAATTTTTATTTACTCTATTTGGTTTTCGATTTTTGAGTGATGTAGTTATATTTTTTATTTTTTATCATTATATAGCAGTTATAGCTATTTTTACGCCCAATTTTTGGATTGTTTGTTGTGGTCTATTCTAATTTTATTTTGGTGGGATTGGTTGTTAATTTATTGTTTTTTATATTATTTTGTTTATTTGTATTTATTCATTTCAGTTTTGATTTTTAAGTAAAGTAGTAAAAATTTGTTTACATGTCTGCATTTTGAGATGAGCTCAGATCATTTATTTAGTAATTTATTTTGGTCTGGGAAGGTAATCATAGCTATTTTTTCCTCCAAGCAAAGTCCACAGGTTTTGATTGATTGTTTTAGCTTGATGATCTTTTCCTTAATATCCATGATATTTTTGGTGTGATTTGTGTTTTGTTTTTAATTTCCCAGATATACTTGGAAAGCATTGTACTCTTCGCGTATTTACTATTTGTGAAATATATTTTGTGTACATAGTTTGTTTGTTTCTAGGGTCCTTCGTTTACACCTATGTATACTTTTTCTTCATTATTTGGTGATTTTACCGTGGCTTGGTATATTACATCATTTTGTAATCAATTACCGTTTAAGGGACATTCATTCTTTATTCTACAGTTACACATAAGTTTAAAAACAAGTAAAATAAATTAACCCAAATAAATAAATAAACAAACAAGCCACTCCCAAAAAATAACTGCCAGAATAGATTTTCCACAATGCACCACCGACCCATATACATAAATAGTCAAGGAAAAATCCAATATTCATATTTCCAACTAGCATGAAACAGCCTGTCACCTCTGAGTGTTGACTTCAATGTTCATTTATATATATATATATATATATATATATATATATATATTATTATATTATATTAAATTTAAAAATTCCAACTCACGACATAAGAGATCTCATGTTTCAAAAACAAAAGCCAAAAACTTCAATATAATTATTTCAATTAAATTGAGTTAAAGTAAGCTCTGTTCCATCTTCAAGCGGAATTTTTTTTGAATAACGTATTTCTGAAATTTACATGTTTTAATAATTGAAATCAAAATTTCCATGGTAACAGCTAGGGCGAATTGTTTAAATTGGGTAGGAGTGTGTTGGGTGTTAATAATAAGTATCAGTATAGAGTTACTTTCATAGATGTCAAGTCAGGGAAGGTGGGGGTGTCTAAATTTGAAACGGAAGATGTTTTAGCCTAGTCTGGTTTACGTGGCTATGGAGATTCTATTTATTTTTTATTTTATTTCTTTATGAAAGGGATTTGTGCATATAAAAAAAAAAAAAAAACTGCCGTAACATTTGTTTTTTGATGACTTCATAAAGGGTTATCTTTTTTGTAGGGTATTTAAACTATTTATTTGGGCTATGGATTATAAAAGTTATTATATTGTATGCTTGTTTTTAGCTAATTATTCAAACCATGAATTTGATGATGTCGACAAAATATGTCGGCTCTTGTTTTGAAACATGAGACCTCTTATGTCGTGAGTTGGAATCATATTTTAAATAAATAATTATATTTATGCTCTACTTTTGTATCGAGCACGGTATTTTTTAAAAAATAATAACTAAAATACTAAGGAATTTTTTCCATTATTTACCTAACCAGTTCTTTCCTATTTTCTATATTTTTTCACATATATATATATATATATATATATATATATATATATATATATATATATATATATATATAT